CAGATTTGCCTTTTTGTGGTCATTAATGCTGTGCCATCGCAATCAGATCTAGCTGTGCTGCCGCAAACCCGAAAAAATCAAAAACACACTGCCTCAGTATGGAACGTCACCATTGCCACACAAGTATCACCGGATAATGTATCGGTAGCAATCGCAAACGGTTATGCCGGCTAACTTTTATTAACCTATTTACCTAGTCCCATAAACTAGGTCGCTATGTTGCTCATGGCATCAAGTTTAGGTAGACCTACAAGAAAACCGTAAGGCTGCGATTCCCAGCCCCACAAGAATTACTTCACTCGTCCTTCCCGCTTAAAAGTTCTGCCCTGCAACTTTCGCCTTTATGCACGACCTTGCGACAAATAAAGTATACACTCCACAACTATTCAGCCGACGAAGTTGACAACTCTGTCGTGATTTTTTTGATAGCGCCTATGTAAAAGAACAATCCACACATTTGATATCAGTAGCGCAAAGTGAAGTACGCACACCAGAGCACCCAGTGTTTGTAGCACAGTGGTAGGGCCTCCAACACATTTCATGATACTTGAGCAGGAAATATAAAGTAATATTGTCGTCGCAAAGCGCATTTACTTAGAAAGCTTATCCGTGACTCTTGTTTGTTACAACTACTGGCTGATCAGATTTAGTTTACATTGTTGGAGGCTCTGGCACGAGTGTCGAGTATCGGTGAGTGATGTGAGCTTTGGCCACAGTTGCAACGCTGCATGGCAAATCTGTCCCGTGATTAAATTATTTGGCCAACTCTACACCATCGTATCTTTTTTCTCGCTGGTAATGAAAATCGTAGGATGTGAGACATAGATAAAATCATCAATCTATAAAGTGCAATGTATTGTAAATTTTGGCTCCTATAACTGTCCATGCCCTCGAGCAGCGTATTTTGCGATCATTTCACTTTTTAGATTGTTGGGTCGTCCAACACATTCACGACATTGTCGACCTAAGCCCTTCAAATTCGATTGAGAATTCCCGCTCGAGTATTATTTGACTAAAATAAACTAAATCATCATTTTGACTTAAATTCAAAGAACTTCTATTCTATCAGCCTCTTTGTCATGGGGCGACGAAAGTATTCGTTACAATTCACTTTTGCGAAGTTGGTAGTACTTGGTATGGATGAGAGTCATGGTGCTTCGAAAAGGATAATTCTGTGGGACACATGGCCAGCAACCTCCTCGCAATGCACATATATATTTACAACATGTGTACTCATACAGTGCTGGCCAAAAATATGTAGCCATGACTATTTCTCAAATTTTTACGTCAATTTTCAGCGAAATACCCTAAAACCGTGTAGAAACGCTATTGAGACAAAGCACTTTAGGAGCATATCTTTTTTTTTCACAGACGATTTTTCGTTGCGGAGATCAAGAACTGACCATTACTCTGACCCTGGACAAAAGTACGTAGCAGCGTGAACTTTGTGACATTGTGGGTCATCTAGAAGGTTCAAAAGCTTCCACCAGACCACAAATCGTAGCTACGGGAGTGTAGAAGACAGCCACTTTTCGTCGTTAACTTGGCCACCCCGCAGTTATGCCCATGGGCTCTGAGTTCACGCCTGTAGAAACAGGCAAGATTTGTGGGCTTCGCGAGGCAGGTTGGACGTTTACGGCAATTGCTGCGCACCTAGGGAGGTCGCCAGCCGGTGTGAGCAAGTTCTGAAGGAACCGAGACACTTACGGAACGGTAAAAAGGTCGGGTAGGCCCAAGAAGGTGTGCGAAAGGACCAAGCGGCACATCTTCCTCGAGGCAAAGAAGGCTGGAGCGTCGTCAAACTCCGTGAAGACGTCGTTGGGGCTTAAGGTGTCATCGCGTACTGTGCGTAGAGTACTTCAGCATACTCCGTACATGGGATAAAGCAAGCGCAAACGCACTCCAATGCTCATGGCGAGCCACAAGTTGGCGCGACGAAAATGGGCTAGAAGTACGATTAAACTACGGACAGATTGGGACCGTGTCGTCTTCTCTGATGAGAAAAAGTTCAATCTGG